CGTCACTATAAGAGATGGATGAATGTTTTGTTTGACAAAACATTGTTCTTTATTAATCAATGATTGGATTATTGTAATCTAATTGATTGTCTCTATAGTAGAGATGATATGGTAGTGTTAACTGTTTAGAATATAATGATGCTTAAAACCCAAAAGGTTGCAAGGTAGTGACTAATCCCAACTAAAGTTGTGATACCTCTAAAACATAAATTACGAGTTGGTCATAGATGGATGCTTTGGATCGTTAGATCCGGATCCAATACCTTCTTGTTAAAATTGTATAGAGGCGAAATGTTCGAATCTTTATTCTTTTGGAAAGAAGAAAGAATCACAAAGTTGTTGAGGTTAATTCACTTAGATGTTAGTGGCACTTGTCCACAACATAATACTACTCATGTTGTATGACATTCACCGAAGATCACTCTCGGTTGGACTATAGTTTATTTTGAATAAACACAAGTCCGAATACTTTGCAAAAGGTTTCAAAGAATTCAAGAAATGTAAGTTGATGAGTAAGACGTCTAAAGTATTTACCTCCTTAGATTTGATCCAAGGAAAGGTAACACTTTAGATGAACAGTTTCCTTGAAAGATATCAAGGAAAGAAGCATCATAAGATAATGGATTTCTCCATTAGGAGAAGAACGAACTTGAATAAGATTTAGTTCGTTAGGATATATTACCCATATCATACTTCTAAGACAATATGATTGTCAATTAGAAGATCTTCCAAAATTTTTCATGACTCCATAAGATGTAGTTGGAAAGAAAGACAAATCTTAAGCATGTTAAGATTTGGGGTTTGTGTGCTAATAAGCAATATTTGTTTGATAAAATTATCTTGTGGGATATCCTTAAATTAACTTTTGGATATCGCTTCTATAAAACCAACTAACAAATGTTGTTTTGTTGGGTAGTTCATTGTAATCCTACAATGTGATTTGCCTAAGAAGCGCAAATGAACGAGAGATAGAACTCAAAGAATGGGTTCTTTGAGAGACAAGATAGTAATCAACAAATATAACAACCTAGTTCCTATACCACAAGCTCCAAGGTAGTCGAGAAGGATTTATAAACCGTCTCAGTTGAATGGTTTGAACTTTATGACTATGTCATAGAGTTGCACCTCTTAATTCGAAAGAAATAAGAATGAAAATCCTTATGACTACATTGAGTGTATATACGATATATACTCAAGGAAATGGTAAAGTACCATTTGACCCGAAATAATGAAACCTTCATAGCTAATTGGTAGCTTAAGGTGACTACAATCAAAGAGAATGGTTGACTTTGAAGAAACCATCTTTGACGTAGTCTTGGTTTCAATTAATTCGAAGATTGCTAGCTACAACTAAATGGTGATTCAATGTTTGGACATAATATGGGTTTCCGAAACCATTATTAAGATAGTCTTGATAATATATGTCTAAAACTATGAATCACAAGACATGTAAGTTGTAGAGATCCATCCATCATGGATCTTAGCAAGCTAGTGGGAGCTATAAGCGTCTTATGAGAGAAAAGGATCAAATCGTTTGATTTCTCATAAAGATGTAAATGAATCTTTTGTTTACTAGGTTTACAAAAGATTAGTGGGAGTTAATCATGTTCCTAAAATTTTTAATATATATATATATATATATATGATATATTAATTTTGGAAATGAAAAGAATACTTCTTCGTTAAAGTTATGACTTTAAACATTATATGAAGATAGAATGTATATGGGAGATATAGTCTATATACATGGGATGGAAATCTATAATGATAGATATTTCATGATATAATTGGATTATATCAATCCCTAATAATAGACAATAGATGCTAGGAAGTTTCTCATATGATGATAAACTTCAATTAAGAAGGACGACTCTAGTGAGACTAGCAAGTTGCCCTTCTCAAAGGGAACGTACCCTTTGACTCCCAAAGAAATAATGCGTAAATAGAATCCTTTATGCATACGCAGAAAGGTGATTTATGTATTTCATATTGTATGAAAAACATTGATATGAGTTGTACCTAGAACGGTACAAGACGATATCAGTGCAAGCCCAGGATCAGAACCATGGCAACTGTCAAGTGAGTCCTTAAGTATTTAAGAAATACTAAAGGATAGATTCCTCAAAGAATGAGGAAGAATTAGAGTAACGTAATGGAAGCGTAAATGTATTAGATTATGAATCTAATCCATCATTGGATGTTTCTTCATTATGAATGAAGAGATAAACAGATATCTCTTTATTATGACTAAAGAGATATTTGGATGGAAACATTAAAAGTAATGACTTTAGTGTGTTCCATTATGAATGCAAAATATATTGCCATATAGAAGTTTACAACAATGTTGTTTGGATGGGAAAGTTCATTTATGAACTCTCTATTCGGTTCCAACCAGAAAGTGTCTCTAGTGTACTGACACTACGACACTAATGGGGCGATAGCTCAAGCCAGGGAATCAAGGTCTCATCAAGATCCGAACTCAAATGAGAGACTGAACCACATGATTGAGAATCATGTATAATGGTGACGTCGTTATTCTCAAGGTTGCTTCTATGGATAAACATATAGATATCCATTGTCTAGGCCTACTACTACTCAGCCATTTATGAAATGACTACAGAAGAGGTATCATCACTGATGACCAAGCTGATTGGCTCTAGTGCAAGTGGGAGATTGTTGGAAATGTGCCCTAAAACCAATCATATGATGATACTTTACGGACATTTCACATGTTAAACTAATCTAGTTTAATATAAAGGGCAAAGATTATTGTTTTGAGCCGTCTCATATAAATGTTATATGCTTAAACGATATAAGTCCAAGGAATATGTGATTGGGAGAATGCGTAATCTAAAAGAAGTTAGATTCATGAGACCATTCTTTCGTAGACACATCCTAAACGTTCCTGATCATAGGATTGCCAATTGGGCATTGACAGTCCGTTAAGATCAGTACGTGCTGTGTCTTCTCTCAGGGAGAGTGACTAGTCTCGAGTCATTGGTGTGTGTGACATCAAGACAAGTACGTAGGTGCTCAATAGAGAATGAGTTCACTGAACACGATCAACGAAGAGTTCTCATATTCATGTCACATGAGAACTCATGGTTGGGATAATGCAAAGTAGTCCTTTGACCTGAGGCATCATAGTTGTCTTGTGGTTAAGTCCTTGATCTTTGATTATGTCAAAGTCACCCCATCAGGAGGGTGTCCACGGCATCGTTGGGGTTAAGCCACTTAGCCATGGAGGCAAGTGAATGCGCAACAAGGGATCTCTAACCTTCAAACCGTTTGAGGGAGAATACTCTATGATATGATTTAAGAATCTCTGGCCAGAGTATGAATGAGATTTAGGAAGTCGTTCCAAATCACATTCAAGGTAATCATATAAGCACACGAATCACATTGGATAGTAGACATGAATAAACTATCAAACCAAACAATGTGGTCAAGAGTATTGTATTAGAGAAAAGACCGTATTGCATTTGTAATCCTAAACTGAATAGGTTCTCCACCTCTTCTGATTAGCTTGGGTAACCATGATATGCTGCTAGGTGTCACTCATGGTTTGTGGAAGCCCTAAACGTGTATAATCACTAAAGGGAGAATTGAAAGTAAGTTTCAATTCACAATCGATTTGAAATGGTTTTAATCGCCCACTGCCTCGCTAAAAGGAACCTAATGGATCGTACACCGTGTAAGGTGGAGATTGAAGATTAAACAATGGAAGATGAGTAAGAATAATTAAATGGTTTAATCATTATTTATGGCAAGGATTAATTAATATGTTAATTAATCAAACGAATAAGTTCGTTAAAGACCTCGGGATAGTTTTGGACCTTAAGGCCCAATGGGCTTCGAACGTCAAGCCCATTGACTTAAGTTGTATGACAACTTAATGAATAAATGATTCACAAAGGCCCAAAAAGCCCAAAATACCCTAATGGCCGGCCATATTTAGAGATGGAGTGGTTTTTGGACTTATTTACAAGTTTGCCACTCCAATGAATTAAGGTATAAATATGACTTTATAGCCAAAATTCATTTAGGGTTTTCTTTTGGGAAAATTGGATGAGAACATGTCTCTCTCCATTTTCTCTCTAAAGAGGCCGGCCCCTTGGAGGGTTTATCTAGCAATCCTACTACTCCAAGGTCACTCATTTCTTCTCCAATCTAACCTTGGTGAAGAGACTTAGAGGTTCTCAATTTTGGGAACTTGGAGAAACCATTTCTTCCATCCAAATCCATGGATCTAAGAATGCAAGGAATGAAGGCCCTCTCTTTGGGTGATTAGCCTTTGCTTATGCAAAGAGGAATCTACAAAGGTATAATTTCTCAACTCACTTTGTTTTGAGTTGAGTTTTGGTTCACCAATCTACTAGGCTTTGAATTTCATGGGTAATGTTTTGTTTTTAAGTGCATACAAGCATGATTCCGCCTTTTAATTGTTAATTGCATGCTATAGATGTGTTGCTTAAATGAACATGTTTTTCACAAAATCACTTTCCCTCCATGGACGATTAAATGGTACACTACCAAGGTTTCAATTTCACGAGCTCATCTCCGACCTTGAACTACGGGAATCTCTTTTAACCCCCTTGGGGCTTGGCTTCTTTCCAAGCCTGCATCATTATGTGGGCCTAAAAGTGCCCAAAATTTACAACCTTTTTAATTTTGCCTTCTTGAATTAAATTTGAATTCTCTTCATAAAAACTCATAATATCAAAAATTCAAAAACAATTGACGAAAAAATAAAAAATAAAAACTCGAAAACAACATTTACAACATAAATAATTATGTGGGGGAGTAAATATAAAATGATTTTCACTCACCTTTTTTTTATTCTGCGCATTTTTATATTTAATCGTAATTTGGGCTGGAACGATGAATTAAAATTATGTGGAGAAGAATAATAGTATGCGAAAATTACTTTCCAAATATAATTAGTCTGTGATTATTTCATAAACCAAGTTACCAATTATTCCCAAAAATTTAAAAGGAAACCGCCTTTAATCGGAAAGCCGAATTAATAAAAATTTGATTAATTACAGCACCCAAATCCAAACGAAATCATCTCCTCTCCTCTCCTGGTACAAAACCTAAAACCCTCTATTCTTATTTTCCCTCTCTCTCTCTCCTGCAACATTTCCTCATTGCTTCTATCGCTTCTCTTGTCATAGATCTCTATCTTTCTTTGATATATGGACAAGCATCAGGGCGGCCAAGATCGAATCGTCTCCACTGGTATCCCTTGTTTCTCTAGTTTTTTTTTTTTTTTTTTTTTTTTTTTTTTTTTGATGTTTTTGTGTCTACTTTGTGTTTGTTTGTTTGTTGCTATTCAATAAAAATTTGTGAGTCGGTGTATTTTTTTTAAGACTCTGGTAATTCCCAGATTGTGAATTGTTTGATTTACTGGCAATTATTTGTTGGTCCGCTGCCGAGTATATAGCTTTAAGCATTCAAGGTGCGGAATGCATTATGTTTCTGGTCGCACTCATGTCGAAAACAATATGCTGTTCCTTGTGTTTTAGTTGAATTCTTGGTCCCCAAATCCTAAGATAGGGTTTTTGGCTTCTTGATGATGTTTTTGTGTCAACTGGGTGAGAGCGGAATTATTGGTGACCCATTGGTATCCATTATTTGGTTTTGTAAAACTCACTTACAAATACACACTGCTCATAAAGTTTTTACTTGGTTCAGTTTAATAATGCGGCATGTCCATGAGTTATAATTTTTAAGTATGATGCAAGCAACTGTTTGAAGTAGTAAGATGGACCCTCTTCATTGTCCACAGTTGGTGTATTATGTCAGGATGGTCTAGGTTAGAGTTCACAGAATCACTTGATTAAAACACATGTGTGATCATGTTCAGATTTGCAGCTCCTTCCTCTTTTCGAATTGATCGATATTGCTGAGTTGCGAATATTGCTTGACCTTGTATTCTTTTAAGCTAGATTGACGATTGACTAAAGCTACCTTAGAAAGGAGAGCGTCAGCCACTCAGCATTGATGAGTGAAGGTGCACGAGAGAGGAAAGGGTTATTGTTGGACATGTGAAGCTATCTAAGAGAAGAGGGTAGGGGCAACCAATGTGTGAAAGAGGATCGGAATCTTTGGAAGTGTGTAGCAATGTTAAAATCCAAAATGTCACATTGTGAAAGTAGAACACCTTTGCTAGCTGGTATCTGAACTCTCTAGCACCCTTTCCTTTCAAGCCTTTTCTGCTTGGGCAAGTTCTGCCAATGGGTTCGAATAGTCTGCAATGAATGTGATTTTTCTCCTATCCTTTGTGAGGGTTGGGGGTTGGATGTGTGCAGGGGCAGACCTTGTTTCTATTTATAATATTTATCCTCTGTTGCATACACCTTCTGTTTCCAGCTTTTTGGAATGTCTGTGCTTCTATTGTTCTTCTGAGATACTGAACATCTGCAATTCTGGGTGCAGGAGAGAGACCTGTAAAGTCAGATATCTTGAAAGAGCAGGTAATTGATTGTATACTCACTAAGAATGTTGTTTCTGTTCATTTATTCCTTTGTATACAAAGGCTTTGGTAGCTGTATTTTATTGATTTTGTAATTTATATTCAGCCACTGTTGCCCAAAGATGAAAGACTAGTTTCGGTGAATCCTTCTCCAGCTGCAGTCATCATAGGGCCTTCAGGTGATGCTACAGAACAACCCAAGTCTTCAGATGTTAGTGGAGAACGAAGCACCCCCCATCCGCTTAATTTGTATTCATCTCATGAAGGGGACATTTATGGTGGTGAGTTTGTTCACCCTTTTCTGCTGTCTCTGGTTTAGGAGGATCAGGATGGTCTAAATAGTAGTGTTTTGAAGTTAGCTATAGTCTGATTCCCATAAACTCTCAAGTGTTGTGACATTGCCCTTGCACATTAAGCCAATTTAAATTTCTGAACTTTTGGTTTCTTTCTCCGGTAGTTCATGAGTGGTCTGATGTTAGCTATAGTTTGATTCCTGTGAACTCTTAAGCGTTGTTTCTTTATCCGGGATTTCGTCAACTATGTTTTAAATGTCATGGTTCTATTTGGTGTTTACTCATAATAAAGAAAAGCTTTTGGTAATAATGACAATGTTCTGCTACTCTTCTCATAATTTATAATTAAAATTGTAAGAGATCAGATTTTAAAGTTCCGTCTGGTTTCAGGTTATGGCAGTAACACTGGTGCTTGGGATGGATATTCGCCATATAATACTGATGGAATGCATGTTTTATCACCAGTGAGTATAATATTCACTTGCGCAATTCTTCTGAATCTCTGATTTCCTTTTGAGCCAAACTTACCTTTGGTTCTTTTTTTGTATTTTTTTTAGGTCATCTACAATGATAATCCTTCTCTTCTGTTTCACTCTGGTTATGGCTTCAATTACGAAATTGCATTTGGACAGTATTCACCAGTCGCTGGTCCTTTGCCTTCTGTAATGGTAGATGGCCAACTTTATTCTACACAACAGGTCCCTTGCTCTCCATCTTATTACCCCCAGCCATCTGAGTTGATGAGACCAGAAAGTAGTAGCACTGACAACATAGGTTATGGGCCAGGACCAGGTTACGTGGTAAATTATAGATCATTTAGTGGAGATCTGTCTGGACATCTTGGTTCTAGTCCTTTAGCATCTCCAACAATTTATCCTCCACCAATGGGCATTCTTGGGTCATACGAATACAATGCTGGGCAGGTTTGTTTTCTTTTAACTTCACTAGTTTAATTCCTTGATAAAGAGATGTTCCTAGACTGGAAGAATTGTTACAGTGTTTCTAGTACTTTTGTTAGAACTCTAAATACGGATACAACTTCGGTCATATTTATATGTTCAGTATTGGAGGCATGTTTTTGTGTTCTGGTCAGCATTGTAGTTATAATTCCCCAATGTGCTTGGTGATCAGAACTTTTGTGTTTATAAGAGGCATATAGTACCATTGCACCCACACTGGTGGTACACAATTCATATGTTCTCGGTGCAATTCAAGATTTTGGAGAATGGCATTAATTGTATTACATTTTGTTAGTCTTGTTTTTTCCCCTTTTCTTTTGGGGTGGAATTTTGGTAGTGAACTCTTTTCTTCCTAGAAATGTGGTGGAGGTTGAAACACATGTCGTGGTAAGAAAAAGATTTATGGGTCAAAGGGTCATTGCAATTGGTGTATGGTTGCTCTTGAAAGGGCCTTAGCAACTGATGTGAAAATATATAAGCACACAAATTAAAACCCTCTTTTGACAATTGTAGTATATGTATTAAGTAGGATCGTTCTGGACCGGGGATTAGGAGGGATTGCTAATCTATGCTAAACTGACTTTAAAACACAAAACTAGGCTTGAAAACACTTAACTAGACTCAAAGAATGGAAAACTAGACTCTAATACCCTAAAACAACTCAAATGACTCAAACAGCACAAAACAAGCTAATTAGACTCAAACCAAACACTAGGAGTAAATTTGGACGAAAATTGGTTTTACTTTGACTCAAAACACTTAAAAACACAAACGAAAACAATTTCTAACTAATATGATCCAACAAAGTAAAGGGGGATTTGGTTTTGATGAATTTAAAGTAAAAACAAATAACTAAAGACTTAGAACAGATTGTAAACGAATTTGGAAAATAAGATAGTAGCTAGAGGTCCATTCTTCACATATAACACTCTTGTACATGAATCGATTTCCAATTGCTTTTCAATAAATTATGAAGCTCAACACCCCAGATTAACCGTGATGCACTAATTAACCCTCAGATTTTCCTTTACTCATTGAATTGGATGAATGCATGCGACAACCCAAATCATTCTCCAAAAGTCCCCCATATGAATGCATAATAGAGATACAATCAAAGATCTTTACGTTCCATGAAAATCATAAGTGTTGACAAGACATTCGTAACTATGAATGCATGATACGTTTGCCAAGAATTCAATTAACGCAATTGTGACTATCAACCTTTACTACTCATGAATATAAATTTGTAACGATTAGGTGAAACTCATTTATATTCTAGCATCAAATTCATGCATGAAAACTAAGTATGCATCCCTAATCAACATACAAGAATCAATTTTGAAGAAAACAGTTAATTGAATTGCATTCACAACTTATCAAATCACAATTGGAAGAAATCAATTCATATCTCAAGGATGTTCATGGCTTCGAATTTTCCCCCTAGCTAAATAGGGGTTTAGCCACTCATGTTCACAGCAAAACGAAAGCAAAAGAAATTAAACATTGTAAATATAGAACGAATTACACCTAGAATGCTCCAACAATCAAGCTCGAACATCCAAAAGGCCTCCCTTCTTTCTTCTTGCTACGGCACAATGGTGGATGAAGTGTATGAGATGAGTTTTGGGATCAGGAATATGTTTTTGGTTGAATGGACTGCGGCAAGGATGTATGGTGGTGGAGAATGATGTAGAATGGTGAATTGTTGTGGCTGAGAGTGTTTCTGAATGGTAGAGGGGTGTTTACAAAATTGTGGTTGAAAAACTCGTATTTATAGGCTAGGGTTTTCACAAATCCTGATGGGAAAAGGCTAGGGTTTTGTAGAAAAAGGCTTGGCCCAATCCAAGGGAGAAAAGAACTAGGGTTGTGCAGATTTTAGGGCTTCTAGAAGTATAGGGTGAGGCACCTATTTAGGGTTTCTAGAAAGGAAGTCTTGTGGCAGGTTCTTGAGCTTCTAGAAAGCTTTGGGGCGCCACCTTTCTAGGGCTTCTAGAAAGGGTGGTGCGGCATGTGTTTAAGTGAAGGGATAGGCCTTCTAGAAGGGATTTAGGTGCCCTTACAGCTGAATATTCATCTTCCAAGTCTTGAATTGATTTCTCCATCTCTTTAGCACGTTCCTAGCTTCATTTGATCTTCAAAAACGTCCATTCCTTGTGCTCCACATGCATGCAATCCAATTCAGCCCCAAAAGTGCTTCAAAATGCATTAAATTACACTTTCTTGCCAACTTTGCCAATTAGACCTACAAACACACTAAAATAGCTTAAAACACTATAATAAGTAGAAACGAGCTATGAAAATGCAAGAAAACAAGCTAACTAAGACGCATAAATATGCTCCTATCAGTAACTCATGCTACTAGTCGATTAGACAGATGCTGCCCATCCATGGGTCAATTCTTGAATAGTTGAAATGTTAAGGTTCATTCTTACTATCACGTCATTAAGTCTCATAAGATTTGGCACATTTTCTCTAATTGTATCTCATTTTAGGTTTTTGAACTAAAATAAATTGTTTGGACTCTGTTGATTATTTTTATTTACTCTAATGTTTATGCATATAATTGTAGAATTTTCTTTTTAAACTTGAACCATGGCCATGCCAAGTTGCCAAGTTGATGCAATTTTTATGGGATGATTAAGAGATGATCCATGATTTACTTTCAGATTTCTCAACAACAGAGACCAATGCATGGATATGGATTGGTTTCAAGTTCCTTTGGTGGACGCTATCCACATGGTAGTTCTTACCAGAGCTCAAACTATGGTGGTGCTTCATATTCGTTTGGTAATGACCGGAACCGACTAAATGTTGACAAGACCAGAAGAAGAGAGAGGGACTGGGACTCTATTTCCGTCAATAATAATTCACATGATATATTCAATGACCGCAACAGAGGACCAAGGGCTTCAAAGATGAAGGGAAAGAGTACTTCTGACCAGAGTTCTTCATCTAGTGTTAGGAAAATGGATCCATCTGCTTCTGGATTTAACCTTGATTCATTGAACCAGCTAATTTTTGTCACAGATTACAAGGATGCAAAATTCTTTATCATTAAGTCTTTCAGTGAGGACAACATTCACAAAAGTATTAAATACAATGTTTGGGCTAGCACGCCTCATGGAAACAAGAAACTTGATGCTGCTTATCATGAGGCAAAGAAGATAAAATGCAGCTGCCCAGTCTTCCTATTCTTTTCGGTATGTTTCTTTGATCTGTTCCTATCTTCCTAACTGTTTGAGCAACTGGGCTGAGGAGGTCCTAGTTGAAAGTGGGTGGCTATATGATTGGTATCAGCACCACAAAGCATTAGGTAGAATGATTGGGTATTGATGCCGATAAGAGCCAGATAATAACTGAAGTTTTAACGTGGCAGTCTCTCTTTCAGATTCAGTAAATATAAACCAGGCAAATTCCCTTGTATGTCATTCGTAGGCCCTATTAACTGTTTGCCATGTCATTCGTAGGCCCAAATAACTGTTTGCCAAAGGCTTTTGTGGTTTCATTTGGTCATTTTTCATTTTTCAGCATTTTTTTTCTTTAAAAATACTATAGATGCTTACAAGAAATTTGTTGTCTGTGCTAAAGTTATTCTATATTTGTTTTGATACGATCTAAACTTTATGTTCTTTAGTTTTGTCAGTCCTCTTAGATTTTGTTGGTTACAACTCACTACAGGTTAATGCTAGCAGACAGTTTTGTGGGGTAGCTGAAATGGTTGGTCATGTAGATTTTGAGAAGGATGCTGATTACTGGCAGCAAGATAGGTGGAGTGGGCAATTTCCAGTTCAGTGGCATATTGTTAAGGATGTTCCTAACATCCGGTTCCGTCACATTCTACTTGAAAATAATGATAATAAGCCTGTCACGCACAGCCGAGATTGTCAGGAGGTAGCATATCTCTCTCAATCTCTGTTATTTTCATTAAAAAAGATTCCATTTTATTTAGAAACTAGAACAATTCTCCAGTTTAGGTTTGGTTTTTGTTGCCACTGTGACCCTCGCGAAAGCCCTTTATGTAAATGCTCATGGTTTTTGAGATAGCTTTATTTTAGGAGTTACCTTGCCCTCTCAAAACCTTCCAAGTTGGGTGGGTCATATTGGGTATATCTTGTTCAAATATGAAACAAGCGAAGTTTGAATTGGAGTTGGGAAGGCTTATTTGAACCCATTTTGAATCTAGATGAGCACTCTTAACTAATGGATCAACCATAAAAAATCACTTTCCAAACTATTTTTTGTTTATACTCTATGGGTTTACAACGTTAATCTTGTGTAGTAGACAGTTCACATGCAATGCATTCAATCTATTTCCTTTTACTTGTGTCTTTAACTTAAGTTTGGCTCTAATGCGGATTGAGAGTTTGCGTCTGCCTTACATTTTATTTCCTGACGGTGAAACATTATCAGGTGAATCTGAAACAAGGTATTGAGCTGGTGAAAATTTTCAACGATTTTGATGCACGAACATCTATTATAGATGACTTTGAATTTTATGATGAGCGGGAAAAATCCTTGAAGGAAAGGAAAGTTAAACAAGAAGCTAGTTCGACTACAGATGCTTCTGATTCAGTTGGCGTTGATTCTGTTAAGGAAATTTCTGATAGTTTTGATCATGCCCTGCAGTTGAAAGGAAGTAACGGCAAAGAAGTAGCAAAAACCGAACATGACATTAGCTCTAAAACAGAAGCTGCTTCAGCAATCCTTGAACATGATTCCTCTATGGACCAAATATCTGATAGCTTATCTCAAGTATTGCAGTTGGAAGAGGGTGACAAAGACTTAGCACTGCCATCTGAAAGTAGTAATGATGGAGACGACAGCAAATCGGTTGACAGGAAGGCGACAGGTGTATCAACTACTAGTGCTTAGGCATTTTAGGCATGCATGCAGCGACAACATACTAGTAGGTGTACCTTTGTGATTTTTAAGAGTAGTTCACTCATTGACAAAGCACGAGGTGGTAATTTCGTCATCTCAAGCAGTCAGGATGCAAGCTGACTCCGTTTTATAACCTTTTTTTCCCTTTACTTGATGATCAGTTGTCCAGAACAATTAGGTGGTACTCGAGGGGGGCGTGCTTGGCAGGAAGGCTGTTTAGTTTTGTATCTGAAGCTCTGTTTTCTTTATTGTAGGGTTAGAATTAGATTTTTGGTTTTGGCGATGTGGAGGTAGTTTGTTGAAAGCAATGCAGGTTGTGGGTATTTGTATACTACGTCTCTCTCTAGGAGATACCTTTTAGAGGTTGTAACTTTAGAGTTGTCCAACTGGTGTTCTGCTGGCGGCTCAGCTGGGTAACGGAGCGTTTCCCCCCCCCCCCCCCCCCCCCCCCAACAACAAAGACCCCCAACCCATTTGGGTTGGATTTGAGAGGTTGATCAATCAATAAACGAATGGAGGAATGAATGAATTCAGAAAACGCATTTACTTTTGCATAAGATTTTCCTTCCTTTTTTTCATTCTATTACGTGTCGCGATTCGTGAATGAATGAAATCACAAACTAAAGACGTTTGATAATTTTTGTGCATATGATATGATGGATTGATTTGGCCTGGTATGCAATGCATGTATCTCATATCTTCCCCCCCCCACCCATTGCCAAACAACGACGGTTTGGTTCTGTTCGTGGAATGGATTCTTTGGGAATCAATTTAGTTTCCATCGGTTCATTTCAGGAACGATTTATGTACGAAATGAGTCATTGAGGTGTTATTTCCTTGAAAGTACACTAGTGCTCATTTAAGAGAGAAGTAGAAAAAAAAAAAAAAAATCAAACTGCATTCTGCACACCGAGCATAACACCAACCATAAAGGTTCAAGGATCCAGTTCCAGTACTTGGAATTTGCGCCCACCACGGGCAAACTGAAGCTCCTCTAGCCGGCTGCTGCACATGATGATCGACATTCTCATGCTCTAACTGATTCATAAATCTTAATGTACTTGCCAGCTGTGTTGTTCCAGCCATTATCAATTTCCATAACCTTCTTAACAATGCCATTCCATTCATCTCCTCCTGCACCACCAATTATAATTCAATAACAGCCAGACGAGAATAATTACAAACTAGTACATAAATCGGAACCCAACATTTTCTTCCCATCTTAAGCCACATTTCATAAATCGGATTCTACAACATACTTGTTCTCTTGCAATGGCATGATGTGTGCACTGTGTACAACATAGGTTGGGCAAAAAACATATGAAAGTAGAGAAAAGTAGAATTTTCCAATTTGTATCTTGTTGGTCCTCAACTACAGTAAAAACTAAGCAAGATCTAATACAAGCAGCACTTACTGTTTTGTAGCATGCAAATCACACAAGAGTGAGTAACAAGAAAACTAAGCAAGTTCTATACAAGGAGAACTTACTGTTTCTGTAGCAAGCAAATGCACGACCTAGAGCCCCATTCAGGGATCCTTCGTCGATTCCTTCAAAAACAAATCTAACAAAAAGAGTTGCAGCATTGGTTCCAACACTTCTACCAATAATACTCAGAGCATAATAATTTTTCACCCTAGTAATATCTACTAGAACCCCAGAGCATGCACTTTTTAACTATTGAAAAATAAGTTACCCATTGGCCATGTCATGATTTTGTTCATCATCCATGTCAAAGACTGTGTCTGCAAGACCGCCGGTCTTTCTAACTACTGGGACCTGAAACAATCGGTTGAACCCAAGTGAGACCTTTAAATAACTTTGTTTCTACACTTTTATTGTGTATTTACATTTAACTACAATGTGAATAAAATCATCTTCCGACAAACACGACAGTAGCCAAAAAACCATACATAGAAAAAATGGTGTAGCAAGAAAGTATATGCACACAGTAATGAATGCTGATCATGTCATATTTTTTATGCACAATTCTGATCAAGCTCTGGAGTACTTCAGTAAAGTTGTTAGTATAGCCATCAACATAAAATGGCAGGATTTTAAAGTCCAGCAGAAATACATACTGCCCCATAACGCATTCCAATCATTTGGGCAAGTCCACATGGCTCGTACATGGAAGGAACTAAAATAAAGTCTGCAGCGGCATACAGCAAGTGGGATAGCTCCTCACTGCATAGCAAAGTAAATCAGAAACAACAAAATTTAGCAAGCAGAAACATCTGAATGCTGGGAGGAGCTATCCCAGTTGCTGTATGCTGGGAGGAACTAGAATAAAGTCAATAGCAGCATACAGCAGGAAAGCAAAACTTAAATCATGGTGTTTCAAGATTAATTACCTATACATCAATAATATCCGAATGCTGGGACCTTGGTTATGCTACAAAAATGATATCAAATATGGACATCTGTTAGCTTGCTTTGACTCAGAAGGTAGGGGAAGAAACAAAGAAAAGAAGATCATAAAGCAGGAACTGGCTCATTAAAGTTAGTGTCCTATTTTGTTTAGGATTGTATTAGGAAATAATTAAGCTTACTTGTACAATTAGACTGGGAACCCTAGAAGATAATTGGAAATGGAAAGAAAGTGTATTTTCCTATTTCATATAGCATAGGAAAGAAAGTGTACTTTCCTATTCCATATAAAATAGGAAATAAAGTATTTTCCTATTTCCACATAAGATAGGAAACTTAATCAGAAAAATAGGCATGTAAACCACACCCTATACTTAAAAATAGGGTGCTGCAAGACTGGAAAAGTGGGAGCAAAACCAGAGACAGTCGAGAAAGAGAAAAGGGATTAATTTTAGGGCTTGCAAAAGTACTGTATGCTCTATTATTAATCAAAGAAGCTGTGATTTCGCTAGGTAGAGAAATCACAACTGGACGTAGACGAAAGTTCTGCTGAACCAGTATAAATCTTGTGTGTTTCTAGTTATTCTCTAATTTGCTGCGTCTAGTCTATTGGCAGAGACATAAAAGAGCAAGATCCAGTAAAGAAGAGTCAGAGTTATAACAAAAGCCTCCGACATCAAAAGATTTAAATAAAACAAGTTGAACATCGTTAGGATTTTAATTAAGGTACAAGAGATTATTATAACAGAAAAGGGATGTATGGAGCATTCACACAAGGTTCTTCAGACATAGATACCTAGAAAATGAAAATAAAATAAAATAAAAAAATAAAAAAAAAAGAAAAAATGAGAGAAGCCTCAAATCCCTTACCAATTTTGCAAGACCTTCAAATTCACTTTCAACCCGAGAATCAGGAGCTTTTCCCAGTATAACCATTTGTCCACCCTAATGAGTCCAGTATTTGGAGGAATGAGAAACTCATGGAAAGCACACTCTGAACTTTTATCAAAGACTATAGCGAGTCAGGAAACAAGTATAGAATCTAAAGAAAATACTTTGGAGAAAAGACAAGTAAATAGTTGCCAATATTTTCACAACTAAATAAATAATTGCTTTGACAATGGACATCTTTTCAGAAACCAACCTTGTACCAGCTTACATAACACTGGTAGTTTTCACAAGGTCTCACTCTCTATACATGTCAAAATGTCTGACAAGAAAAAATCTTGTTGGTGCGTGTGTCTATATATATACAGAGACTTTCTATAAGAAGGATGTCCAATAAGAAAAAGTGCACGCATCATTCCTAGGCACCAACACATTCCTGCTCAGCTATCCACATAGCCCAGGCAAAATTTAGAACACAAAAAGATGTAACGTGGTAACAAACTTACAAGTTCCTCAACTTGCTTAATTGCATGAGTAATCAAATGCAGACCCTTTTGTGCAACTAAACGAGTGATACATACAACCAAGGGAACCTTGAGTGCAGTATCTGGCACATGGTCGCCTGAGGCCAAACCAAGTCCCCTTTGGACATAGTATTTGCATAATTTCTTGCCCTCAGGGTTTTGAGCTGCAAGAAACAGAACAAATGATAATGAAAATAAAAACTACTGTGCAATGGGTTCAATTCTTAGTAAAAGCATTTCCAGACTTGCAAATCTAATAAAAGCTTACTCATAAGTCCTTACCACGAAACTTTGAAGGCAAGAAAACATCAGTAGAAGGGTCCCACATCGCAGTGTCTATTCCATTTACTATACCAAAGTACCTATAAATTTACATATTTAAATATCAACAAATGCAAAGACAAGAAGAGATTTTCACTTTCTTTAAAGTCAACAAGAGGTTTTAACTCTTAATCAGAGAGCAGAGTAAACATCATGTTGAAAAGTAAATTGCTTACTAATTACTTGTTAGTAAATGGTTTACTTAGTAGATTTTCTATTTGTCATTTTGTGAAACTGTTTTCTGTTGAGATAGCTTGAGCTCATATGCCAGGTGTAGGCCTTAGATCAGTTTTCATTGTAATGGCTCACATGCCTTGTAATTGCCATGTGTCATAATCACAATGGCTTATGTATTGAATGGTGATGATGACTGATGTAAGGAATGAAGAATATATGAAAGTGGAGCATCATTCTAAACGGTTAGAATGTTGCTGTTATGAAATATTCTCTCTGCTTCTCTCTCTAGTTTTTCTTCTCTCTCTTCATTCTTCTTGCTCCCTTCGAAATCCAAGTCATCAGATTAATGGAAGCTTACCCAAATCTTAACACATCAAGCTGAATATATATATAGGCACACAATATGCAGCTAGTAACAAGCATGAAAGTTTCCTGCGTGGGAAACCATACTTCAAATAAATTCATGCAAAAAGCATTATTTGTCCACAATGGATTTTAAAGTAACTGAGGTAGGTGTTACAAAGACCACCAGGAAGTGATGTTATTCACAAATCAAGATTTGGAAAATCCCAAGCATGATTGAGGCCTGGAAGATCCCAACATATAATTACGTAAAACAGAATTAAGCTTACCATGTGTAGAAACTTAGTATTAATCGTGGAAATCACATGCTATATGACCTCATTGATATTAGATCTATTTACTACATAAAAAGAACAACAACATGATGAAAGGTCCGCAAATGGTACAAACTATAATCCCCAAGTTCTATTTGGATCATTTGATTGTTATGTATAATTCAAATATTCAACAAGGAGTGAGCTATTTCTAAGAAGCCTCTCTGCCTATCTCTAAATGTTCTTGAAAGTCACCATACATTGATCATGATTAAAACATGAGAGTGTAATGTTATTGCAGTTTTTAAAGGAGACAAAATGCATGAAAAAATATCACTAAAGGCAACTGGTAATTGCCACTTGCCAGAGCTTCTATTGCAACAGCATTTCAATAATGGTTGATACAGTACCCTTATGTCTTATTCAGCGACAGAGCAACATATAAAAGTTTACTTTTTTGGGAAAATTTGAAATAGGTCCAATTTTATAGGCCTGCTTTTGAAATATGTCCAATTTTTAGTGACTTTT